TCTCATCTCTCTTTTGTCTACCACCGCTACAAGGTCACTGACCCAGATTAGGAGTTCGCCAAGAACTCCTTCCTAACCAACGCCATCTACATGAATGCAAAACTACTTGTGGAGGACAGAGGGGTAGCTGTTAGGGTGGGGGAGGGATCTGCCATCATTGATGCCAGTAGCGCTATCGTCCGCTATTGACGTCGTCCACCATTGAATGTTAAAATTACCTTTTTACTCTTTATTTTTATGTTTCCATTAATAAAACTAATATCATTAAGATAAATAGGTTTAATTATTTTATTTTCATAATTACAAGGATGTCAATGTAACTTTTTAAAGTATAGGAATCGAGATGCTAAAGATAGCTAACTACAAGAGGCAATCTGTAGTTAGTCCCTTCTATAGTGTGGTGTGGTGGTTAATATCTAGGTCACATGTTATTATTTTATTTGGTAAAAGGTTTTAGACTTGACAAATTTAATAAAACTCAATGATTCATTTTTTTTTTCCATAAAGGACTTATATTTTTAAGATTACCCTTAGTCATCACCTTCACCCCGCTACCTCCATCCTGTATTTGTCATTATTGTCGCACCTCGTCCATCACCTCAACTCTCACCCTTGTCCATCGCTCTCCTCTACGTCCAACCTCACCCTCATCCACTATACCCTTATCTTGTTACTTACACCACTTGTTTGTCACTATCGTTGTGATAGACGATCTCTTGGGAGGGCCTCATAAGTGAGGTGTTATACTCACTGGTGTTGACAATGTTGCTAGATTATGTCACACCTGTGCCTTCCATCGGGGGATCAGGGGCTAGGGGAAGTTGGTCTTAGCCTTGGGGACATGAAACCAGCATGTGGTAGCATCGTAGGCACGTGTGACTTATTCGGCAGCCAAAGGTATTGAGCCATACACAACATTTCGTAACTAGGTTCTAAATCTCTACCACGTACCACCTCTCGAGTCACTTCTTGATCCCTTAGTAGCTCGCTTCCTTCTCATCTCCTCTTTCTCAGTAGTCATTGTTGCATCTTTCACTGGTGCTAGTCACCCTCCAAGAGACCACTCACATTGGCTATCGCAACGATAATGGTGGACAAGGGGCGATGACGATTGGGTGAGGGTAGAGGCGGACAATGGCCAAGGTGGGGACAACGGACGAGGATGTGACATCAACAATAGATGAAAGATAGAGATGATAGGGAGGAGGTGATAACTGACAAGGGAGGCCAAGGAGAATCTTATTTTAAAAAAAGAGATGTTCTAAAAAAAATCAAAATGAGGGCTTTTTTTTTTTGCAAAATTTGCACTTAATGATTTAGATATTTCATATTGATTTTTTTCCAAGTTAGAGAATATTTGTGAATGTTTTCTCAGAGTAGTGTATGATGGTGATTGGGGACAAAATATGACTCTTGTTTTATCATAGGTGAATAATTGATTGTCCAATCTTTTCGAATCTCCGTCACCTTCCTTTAAATATTGAAGTTTTATTTGATTTTTTGTGTAGTTATTTGAAAGAAAAACTAGCTAGGTTTGTTTTTATGGGAATTTTAATTTCAAGATTTTAAGTATGATGATTTTTAAACATCACTATAAATTAAAAAATTTAAACTATTAAGCGATCAAATCTAATATATATATCATATTGATAGGGAATCTATTGTTAACTAACATGTAGTCATCATGTGGGATTCAAGTTATCCTCCACCTATCTGTGAACAAAGATTCAAAATAAACAAACACTAACTTTTTTCTGTGATAAGGAAGACAATTATAAATTTTTTTCTTATTCTTTATGACAAGAAAATCAATTCTATTTTTTTTTCTCATCCTTCAAGATATAAAAATATCTCTTAAACTCAGTGTTCATGTAGATAGCACCTCAGAAGCATTGCGTTTTCACCTCTGAAACACTTTGGATGATCTTGCGCATACGGGTTCGGGCTATGTCAGGTTGATCAAGACATCAATGATATTTTCCCTTAACATTTTGGTACTAGAAGGAAAGCTTGATGTTACATAAATATCCACCCACCAATCCTCTCAACGAACGCTCCAGCAACGTGGTCTTGCCTCCAACCTATAGTACTTTTACTTGTAAGAGACAACTATCATCCTTCCTACATATAGATGAATCAACTTTGGTGCAGATGTCGATGAGGTACTAACATATACTCGATGACCTAAACCCCTCACCCTCAAGGACAAACTCGAGCCACCTACTCGTCCCCGTCGAGATGTTCCTAAACCTCACCCATCATATGTAAATGCCCACGGGCATGTTGCAAGTTATCACCCCGCTTTTGTCGCAACTAGCCTAAACAAGCGACACTGCCATCTCAACCACAATTGACACCTCAAATGTTGGGAAACCTTGAGCAGCATCATATGTACAACAGAAGAATAGAAAACAAAAATCTTAGATTTCCTATTGAAAAAGGATCTCATCGTCGTGCGAAGATTAGTGCACGAAAAACTTACAAAACTAAAAACTACGTATATGTGAAAGATGTGTTACCTAGGGAGATCGTATATCCCTGAAAACTTTCAGATCTATAGGAGAGGATAAAGGAGGTCAACTGTCCTCCTCTCTAGAGATGATCCACATGATTAATCTTCCTCTCCATATGCACCACGTGATCGAGAAGGGGCCGACACTTCTCGTTGTTCACATGTCCCAAACTAGGTCTATCGACTGAGGATGAGAGGGGGGGAGTAGAATATGATGTGGCAATAAAAAAGGGTATAATCTATGCCCCTTTGATTCCCTCCTATTTATAGAGGTTCCTATCAACTTAACCTTAATGGATCCTGTCCAATTGGGCACCGGATCTCCATCCAACTACCCAAGCTTCTTGAATTAGTGGATCTCTACACAATAATCTCTTATTGGCCCTTATTGGATCATATCCACAAGATCCAATAATTCAGGGTCTTACTAGATATCCAATAACATAGGGGTTCTAGCGGATATCTCATATTTGAACCTCTACTCATCGCAACACCTACCATATGTATGTAACCCTTTAGGCCCAATATCGAGCTGGTTATGAGTCATACCTATCAAAACTCCTTCTGACTCAGTAAATTATTATCTTCATAATAATTCACTTGACTCATTGATTACGGATATACTATGTCATTGCACCGTAGTCCCCAAATAATATAAGAGAATCCAATCCATTGGACTTATCTATCCTTAGTTATTATATATTTATAGTCCCTCATCCGTCTAATATCCCAAAGACTGTATACCGGGCATAGTGCTATCAAACCTCATACGGAATCTACTCGAGTCTCGCTCTAATCGAATTCTCCCGAAGAACTCTTTCTCTCTTAATCTAAGTGACCTTGGCTAGGAATTTTCCTGAGCAAGAATATATATGATATTCCTCTCGTGACACTAAGAGCGGATGATCCTCTATTGACACTCAATTGCCCTTATTAGGTTGGTTATCACTCCCGATGATCGGTTGTGCTAGATCTAGAACCTCCAAGCCTGTAAGTCTGATATCAAAGAATGGAGTACTCATATAGGGTATCCTTGTTGTCTCAAGTTTAAGGACTAAACACACAACTAGGACCATGGAATCGTTATCTAACAGTGAGGTATCATTAACTATCAAGTATATCCCTAGTGCCCCTATACACAATGGCTTTGTTAGTGGATCTACGATGTTATCTTCAGATGAAACTTTTTCCACTACTACATCACCACAGGCCATGATCTTTCTAATCAAGTGGAACCTCCTCAGAACGTGCTTCGACTTCTAAAAAGAATTGGTCCTTTGCTTGAGCAATTGTTAGTGGATACACTCAATATCCCTTAGAGAATGAGTTTACTAATTGATCCGCTCATTGAATGTTGGATGGTTGATGATGCCTCATTGTCAAACAACGATTTCATCGTCCTAGTGATGTATTCGGTCCCTAGACTTAAGACATCAATGATGTCCTATATGAGTATTCAACTCTTTGATACAAGACTTATAGACCTAAAAGTTCCAAATCTAGCATAGTCGATCATCAGGAGTAACAATCAACCTTACAAGGGCTATTGAGTGTCGATAGAAAATCATCTACTCTCGGTGTCATGAAAGAAATATCTCATATATTTTTGCTTAGGAAAATCCCTAGACAAGGTCATTTGGATTGAGAGAGAAAGAGTTCTCCGAGAGAATCCAATTAAAGCGAAACTCGTGTAGAAACCGTATAAGTCTGATAGCGTCATGCTTAGTATACGATTTTTGGGATATTATATAGATGAGAATCTATAGATACATGGTAACTAAGGACAGACATGTCCAATGGATTAGATTAACCTACATTGTTTGGGGACTACGACGTAGTGGCCTAGTACGTCCGCAGTCGATGAGTCGAGTGAATTATTATGAAGATAATAATTCACTAAGCCAAAAGGAGTTTTGACATGGTATGACTCACGACCAGCTTGATATTGGGTTTAGAAGGTCACACACATATGGTAGGTATTGTGACAAGTAGATATTCAGATATAAGATATTCGCTAGACCTCATATCTTATTAGATATCCAATAAGCCCTTGAATTATTGGATTCTATATATAAGATCTAATAAGAGCCAATGAGAGATAATTCGGTAGAGATTCACTAATCTAAGAGGCTTGGGTAGCTGGATGGAGATTTAGTTCCCAATAGGGCAAGATCCATTAAGATTAAGTTTACAAAGGGCCTCTATAAATAGGAGGGAACCAAAGGGCCATAGGTCAAACCTCTTTTGGCTACCACCTCCTATTCTCCTCTCCTCCTCAGCCAGCAGCTCTTGTTCGGGGTGTGTGGACAGCAAAAAGGGCCAACCCCTTCTTGATTGCGTGGTGCACGCATCGAGGTGATTTGAGCAGCGATTTGAGGAGCATCTTCACAGCCCCTATCATGTGGATTACTACTAAAGAGGACGATAATTGACCTCCTTCATCATCTCCCATAGATCTGCAGGTTTTCAGGGATATACGATCTTTCTAGGTAACACATCTTTCTTATACATGTAGTTTTCGATTTCACGGGTTTTTACATACCAATCTTCGTACGATGATAAAGGACTATTTTTTTGTAAAAATCTAAATTTTTTGTTTTTGTTCTTCTGCTACGTATGTGATGTCACCTTAAATTTCCCAACAATATCTACCATGGTAGTGGTGCAGGGCCAAATGCGCCCGAGGCGTGTGAGTTGGGAAACTTGACCCACACCAAGATAAATCCACCACGGCGAAGGCGTATGGCCAAATGTGCCCAAAGTGTATAAGTTGAGAAACCCAACCCACGCCAAGGGATATCCGTCACAATGAAGGCACAAGCCCAAATGTACCTGAGGTATGTGAGTCGAGAAACATGACCCGCACTAAGATATATCGACCACGACATAGGCACATGGCCAAATATGCTTGAGATATATAAGTCGGGAAAATCGATCGGCTCCAACATATATTTGTCACGATGGAGGCGTAGAGCCAAATGTGCCCGAAGCATGCCAAAGTATATCCATCATGACGAAGGCATTTGCTAAGGTGTGCCCAAGACACCTGGTTCAGGAAAACTCGACCCATAAAATGAGATCTCGAATGCTCCCATGAACTAAACGACATACTTCTAGCCTCTTTCGCAAGAGCCCCAAAGCACACCTTCGGGGAGAGACAAATGATAGGGAATATATTGCTAGTTGACACGTGATCGTCATATGAGATCCAAGTCACCCTCCACCCATTTGCCTATATGGATGAAGATTTAAAGTAAGCAAAACACAAGCTTTCTTCTCATTCGTTATGAGAAGGAAGACAATCACAAACTTATTTTTCATTCACAATCCTTTTTAAGGTATAAAAACATATTCCGAATAGGGGAGAGGACTTTTTTTAACTACTCGAACCCACATTTGGATATCTCGGATTACTAACTTGAGCATCGGACGGATCACATCAGGAAATCTCTTCCGACCTCAGGTGGCACTTCGAGAACACGATGTTTCTACCTTGAAGACACTTTGGATAATCCTACACGTACGGGTCCGGATCACGTTAAGCTAACCACGATGTTAATGATATTTTCTCCTAAAACATTATGGTTTATTATTACTTTTATTCTTATCTCAATTTTCATCTCTATTTCACGTATAAATATTTTTGTAATCAGATTTTAGAAAGTTTATTTTTTTGGTACTACTCTCAAATTCATTGCTGTGTGCCTGATGGGAATGGTTTTTTTAATTTAATTCTTGCAAGTAGAAAATTGTCATTTAAGTAATCAGATATCACTTAATTTTGTATCAAGTGCTTCTATAACATAAAATATGGGTATGAAATGCTTCTGTATTATAGAGTCTGAAATTTGATGATCAGAAGATAGAAATCAAAATCCTAATGAGTTGGATAATATATAATTAGGCCAACACTACACGATAAGAGATGATTACTTGATGTTCAAAAGATAGAAATCAAAATCCTAATGAGTTGGACAATATAAAATTACACGATAAGAGATAATAAGTACATAACTATTGGGAAAGAAAACGATTACCCAAAATAAGGGAGCGGTGATTAGGACAAAAACGAGAGAACCATATTTAACAATATTGTCATCAATATGGATCAAGAACGAAGTGTGCTGCAACCTTATATTTGTGATTTGGGACCTGCACTTGAATCAACCGAAGTGTCAGAAATTGCTGCAAATTACAATCGAAATTGCAAACCCTCAATCATCATGTATTTGTTAGACAAATCTGAAGTTACAGACACAGCAAAAGTGAAACAAAATATAGTTTGCAATGATCTGCTGTAGAAGATACTGAACTCTTTCGGAAAAAAAATGTTTCATTTATTGACACAAAAAAAACTTCATCTAGAAGCATTATTATTTGGAAATGAAAACTACCTTCTGATGCGGATTAAACTTCAATAAATCCATCTGATAACCACTGGTTCACTATGAAGAGAAACTTTAAGTAATTTTTATACATCTGTCATCTGCCCAGCGGATTCAGAAGAATCTGACTCGCTTGTTCTTCTCTTCCAAGGATCCTTCTTCAGTTGCCCATCGGTGGTTTCCCATTGACGAAAAGGCAACGACTCACGCTTATGCCAATAAGGGTCTCCGAAAGATTTGAAGAACTCATTTGCCATCCCGTCGGCTGCCTCCAAGAAATTACCAAAACCACCAAACAATCTCCCTTCAATACCTTCAATGTCACTGAGAAGCCCAGGAAAATTAAAGGGCTCCATTGTTGGTGAGTTAGAAGGAAACAATCCTCTGGTCACTTCATCAGTAACATCATCTTCGGTGTGCTCAGTTTTTGATTCAACTACTTCGACAGGCCTGAGGAAGAAAAAACTATGATATCAATCAATGCTAAAACACATACAAACGAGATTGCTAACATAAAAGGATTTTGCAGTTCTCCACAATGCATCAATGCATATTAACTAACAGTGATGCAAGTATAACTTGTCCATAAATGCACTTCATAGTTTTTCCTGGTGTCCTATGCAAAGCCACTCTGCATCACTGATAGACTACTTAAGATTCAACTGTAAAGGCATTAGTTTGTTTCGTAAGCCTTCGTCATGAACCAGAAAAAGACAGAAATAGCTAATGAACAATTCCACTGGAAGTCCATCAGACATTCATACAGTGGAGTTATGCTGTTGATCTAAAACCTGCTATTATGAAATCATGACAAGATCTAAGAATAATAGAATAAGATCTACATGAGCAAGAGATTGAAGGATGGTTTACTATAAGTCTACACGAGCAAGGTATTTAAATAGCTGTATTGCCATCATTTCCAGAAAACTACAAGCAAATGTGTGCGCATTCTACATATTCAAGCAATGTAAAATATAACCTTTATGAAGCATAGCCAGTTTTTAATAATGCTCCAATGAATATAATAGTGCCCAAAATATGGGTTGGACTTATATGAAATAGGTGGACAAATCCTATGTTTAATCTGACAATTGAAAAGTGACATTATAAATACTGTATGGGACCTATGTACACATGCCTAAACCAATTTGGAGTATTTACATCTCAAGACAATGTAAAGCCAGAAGTTTTCTTAACTCAAGACATATTTTCCCTTTCCCATATTGGTAGGTCTAAAAATAATTAAGCACAATCTTCATGACCGACAGGTACACAAGCCTAAAAACAAACACAATGCAATTAACTATTTATATATCTTTTAGATGAAACCATTAATATTCTATCTGCTCTATCATGATGATTATTATAAAGACATTTTCAACTATCCACAAAAGAAAAATCAATTTTTCAAATTCAACTTGATATACTTATAGATGATATGCCACAATTCCATTGGTGTCGGTAATTCGGGAGATGTTCTTCTCCCGATCCATGGCGTACATGATGAGACAATGCATACATCTCATCCTAATATAGCAACTAACTGATCATTTATGATATGCCACGAGTACCACATGTCTCATCCAACCAAAACTGATGAATCATCACAAACAAACAATCAATCAATCGATATATAAATTTCTGGATCGAAGACCACAACCAAAGTGATAGACGCATCCAAGTGTGACAAATCGATCGAAACGTCCACAGGATTACGAGAACGGAAGAGGGGAAACGACGGGCAGCGATACCTTCCAACGCAATCCTTGAGGGTTTGCTCGGTCTTCTCGCACTTGCGGACGAACCTACCGGGCTCAACCTCTTCAGTTCGGCAGGTCGATCGCACCACCATCTGCGTCGAGCACCGCTCCTCGCCCGCCGCGAATCGAGCATTAGGATCAGGGTTAGGGTTCACAAGATCGCCGAAGCCCCGCCTCGAGGGCTCCTCTTTCTCCCGCTTCCAACCCATCTCTCTCTCGGTCTCTCTCTCTCTCTCTCAATGGAATGGCGAAAGATGAAATGGATGGATGCATACACATCCTCGAGGGCGCAAGTCAGTTCCTGAGAGCAGTTGTGATCCCGTGCGTGTTGTACGCGTCTCATCTGCCTCCTGATTGGGAACAGGCCATGGAGCCCACGTGGGCCCCACTAGGTGGCTTCTTCTCTTCCCACTCCAACGGTGGGTGGCTGATAACGGGTGCGTCCCAGACGTAGCAAGAACATTTTTCTTTGCAGCGTGCAACTATACCACTGTATCCTCACGTGATATTCATATATGTCACGTGACGTTCGTCCCCAATATACAAAGCTCCCATCGACATTGAGAAGTAGAAAAGATCGGTATAAATGTAGTAACTCTACACATATAAATTATTATTTTCTATTACTCGTATAACAAAAAACATAACCTTACAAAAAAAATTGTTACAGATAGAAATAAATTCTAAAACGGCAATATATCAAAATTAGTTCATTCAGATGAACTTATTGATTATAACCATCTGAAAAATGCCCCAAAAAGATGCAAGTATGCTTATTGAGGTGCCGGCGTATTGGCATTCACCACGATTGGTTGCTGCTGATCAAGATTTCAAGAGAACTCATTTTGTGTGTCATCAGCCAGCCAGATCAAAGTTTCTTTGTGATCTCTTCAAGGGCACGGTCATGATATCTCATTCGTTCGATTGCAGCTATAGCATTGTCAAAGTCATGAATTTTGAATGCTTGCTCAAATGATCTTGAGCATTTCTCAAATTTTTCTTCTACCTATGTAAGATATGGGAAGCAATTGGTGGTATTTTGTCAACATATCAAGGCATGGAATAGTGAAACAATTAGAGTAATATGGGCAGAATAAGATTAACCTGAGTCTGTATCTGATTCAGTGAATGAGAATCATTTGCCTCTTCGACAGCTTCTCGGATGTCCATCATCTGTCACAGCATAATATGAAAAACATGAAGTTCATTATTATTCGGGAAATAATATCAAAACATGTGGGATTATATATTTTAAGAAGACAGCAGTATCAGGAGAATACTGCAAATATGCAAGCTGATTAATGACCCACATCAGCCACAAGCTGAGGGATACCAAAGTTGGTGAGACATTCAAATTCCAGAATCTAAGATCTTCAAATGTCAGGCAAAACCGAAAAGTATTCAGATAATTACCTCAGCAAGCAGATCTGGATCCGTGATTGTTTTCTCTTCATCAACATGTACACCCTCCAGTTTCAACTGTCAAAGGATAACAGAGAACGGATTTAATCACAATAAACTCAATTTTTGTTTTTTCCAGTCCATTTCAAGCAACAACTACTAATATACACTAATAAAGTGGCTGTGATTAATAGTCAATATTGATGCAATAAGACAAGAAAATAAAAGAGATAGGACATCAAACCAAAACGAAAACATTAGAATATATATAATATATAGTTTATAAACAATTCTCATTCATTCGCAGGATTACTGGCGCAATTCAATATGCTCAAAGTCCAGTCGGTTTATTTCACATATTTGAAAGGTTTACAAAATATGGGAAATAAGAGTGCCACATAAAAATTAGTGCTGCTGTAAATCCACAAGAGAAGCAAATTTTATCTTCCATCATTAATTCCAAGAACAAAAACTAATATTGAAGTATAAATACCTATACAACAAGGATTCTGCAGACTGGAATCCTTGCTAACCGGCACTATCTATAGCAAATAAGCACAGTAACTTTTAGCAAATATGCTCAAGAGGAAATCAAATAATTACTGGAAAATATAAGTTTTAGCTGCCAGATACTAACAAAGGAACCAGAAATATGCCACTTCAAAAACAAAGAGAAGTTCATTAAAATATTGATTATCTACTACAAGATAATTATCTAAAAAATTACCAGCAAAGGTCGTCGCATAAAGGTTAGCAACAAACTTACCAGGTATATTGCCCTCAGCAGGGGTTTGCTTAGAGTCCGATATGCATCAATTACTCGAGCAGACTGTTCAGCCGCAAACATCTTTTCCTTCTAAATCATGTATACCAATAGATTTAGAACTAATTAAAGAATTACGTACAAACTATAAAATATTCAGGCAAGTTTAAATTCTAAAGTTTCGAAACATATCCTCCGACCTCAGATTTTGAATGCACTAGGTCAGGATGCAATTTCTTTTGCCAATCTTTATACTTCCCTTCTAGATTACCATCCTTTATTTCATATTTTCTTTCCCTGCATTAAGTGAAGAATGTAGGACTTTACCATTCATTGTTATAAAGGGAAAGTTCCAATTAGCTTCTTAAAAAAATCTAAAAGAGATGCATGCATTAACTTACAGGTCAAAACACTACTATTACAACCACAATATCTCAGATGATTGCTACTTTTAGGAAAAAATTGATACAATCAAAATCATGATAATCATTTTATGCCTGATAAAAGCCACACACCAAGACATACTAAATAAACTGATGTTAGAGACTCTTCATCACATAACAAATGCACATCCAAAACAAGAATCGGATTAGAACTTATTAGTAATACTAGTATCAGAGGAATGTCAAGAACATCAAATTTGCTTGATTAGGTTTCTATACCGAAATACCAAAACGACTTTAAAGTCATATACTGCTACCCTAGACTGTCTGTCATTTTGGTCTAGACACTTGATCAGGGCTTGTTGTACCGCACGATACGATACGATACGGGTGGTATATACGTCCAATAGGTGACTGACACGCGGACCAGTTCAAAGGGTTTTTAAACCCTTTCCTCCCCGCTCTTTCAACATGTTTCACTCTCTCAAACTCATTCTCACTCACATCTTCTCATTCTCATATTTTCACTCCCTTAAACTCAATATAAGCTATGATTTGTGGATTGGATCAATTTTGGGAGGCTCATTTGGGAGGAATGAATAGAAGCAACGGAGAATCAAGATGATCCTTTACTTAATAAAGCGGGAGAACCTCCATATCCTCGCATTTTATCACTAAGGCACTAGAATAAGAGAAACAAAATCGTCAGCAGAAGGAAGATCCCCTTGAGTCAAAACATGACGGAAGGTGTCAAACGACCTCAAGTCAAACTACTCAGGGTCATGATACCCAACCGTCACAATCGTTCGCCCAACATGCAAAGACAAATGGGAAGGCAATAGTATCAGTCACACCATTGGAAAAAATCAAATTGGGTGACAAGACACTTTCTCAATCACATTCAGCAAACCTGCTCGATCCGTAGCCATAGCAATGCCATAGACAACAATGCCTCGACCGATAATGGCGACAACATCAGGGAGTCGATGGTTCCACCTACTCAATTTCAAGGTGATGCATGGACCAAAGAGTAGTATTTTACGTATGTCACCTAAGATTCAAATCATGGAACTAGACAAGGTACTGATCAGGTTTATATACAAAAGGGGAAGGGGAAGGTAGTCGACGATTTTGAACAAATGCGACAGAACGTATACAACGTAGACACAAAGTGGAGCTCATCATATTCCCAACTATCATATTATAAAAGATATTACGACTAATAATAGTACGGTGATATTGGTCACTCTTTTACAAGTAGTAGTACAGTGATCGATCTTCTAATACAAAACAATAGGTCAGTGACGAAAATAGAAGTTTCGACGTTCTCCAACCTCCGCACTGATACATGCCACAATCATACTTGCCTCAGGAACTGCCTCGAACACATGCGGTTCGCAACGATCAGGCTACAACCATCACCATATTGATGCACCAATAATATACAATGTATTATTATACCATATCGTGGGAGAAATTTCAGGATTAGGTCCGACTAACATGCCATATTGATATATGAATACACAGGATCGAGGATCCCGATCCATCGCCTATGGAGCCCCGTCGTTCTTTTCAATGGTAGAACCAGATATATTCATCAATCAATCCATTTATTACTTGATTCATTTGAATCTTAAAGCTTAACTAGTAATCTATCAATTTAAGTCATATCTTTATAGATAATTCAATATCAATAGAACGATAGTTCAGAACATACCACAACGCTGCCCCTCAAAGTCTGAAAAAGATATATGTTGCAATTCCTTCCTAATTTAGAAGATTTTTTATGAAATTATACTAAACTTACATTTAGTTCCAAATAAAAAACCTTAATATATGTTTTTTCCTATTTTGCAAGTATTTTCGGAGGTTTTTTGGCTTTTTTCTATGTCGTCGACACACCCCACCGTACAGATACTCGACACACTAGTATGGGGCGGCACAGCAATCGACCGACACGTCAGCTCAGATCAAGAAGCCGAACATTGCACTTGACAATCTATTTTTTAAATGCCAGATTGCAATCTTTTTGGGTAATTGTCCAAGACAAGCTTGAGATTTCTCTAACAAGAATAGAAGATTGGCACCAAGAAGCTCAGATTTAGAAAGCGTGGATCTTGAAGACAAGTCTGCCAAATCCTTAAGGTCAGTCACTGCAAACATCCTCTGAATGATTTGTAAAAACAGAAATGAAAGCTTGCATCAGAACTGCTTTATACAACCCTCTACATTGTGGCTAGAAGTTCAAGCCTTATCCTCTAAGCAATCAACCAAAGCCACCAATTCTGAGGAGATAGGGGATTGAATTCTCAGCTCAATAATAATGATATTAATGAGGCAAGTTATTCTTTAGACTATGATGGATCTATTTCTAAGTCTGCTGAAGCTGCAGAAGCTGGGTACATCATCATGGATGATCGAGGAAAGGTGGTAGCTGCAGGGAACCAAACTCACAAGGTTAAAAACCCGCGGCTCATTGAAATGGTGGGATCACTCAAAAGAGCAAAGGAGGAAGAAATACACATGTGGGTGCAAACAGATGCACAGACTCACTAACTTGCTCAATAGAAGGGAAGGGATGTAACAACTGTTTTGAACTGGGAACCGAGACTAGTTTTTTAATATGGTCTTGTATCCCTAGATTAGACAACCTTTTTACCCACAAGCTTGCAAAAATCGCAAAACTTAGTGGGAATTCTCACAACGGGGTCACACAACTGACCTTTGTGATGTTACTGTTGTTACATGGTTAAATCACAGTTACTTATTTTCAGAAATAATGCAGGAACACCACACAGAAAAAAAACACACCATCCTGAAAGTTAAGAAACCAATATCAGCTTGTATTTTACACATAAAATTTGCATAGCAAGAGTTCCTGAATGCAGTAAAAAAGACAATAGATGTACCAAAAAGTAGTTAATTTTTGCAAAGGATAACAAAAATCAGATAATGAGGGAAAAAATTACAAAGAAAGACTCGCCATAGAATTATATTGTTTCCCTTGACCCAATTGAATGATTTATTGGTGCAAAGAGCTTGTTGAGATGTAAACATCAATAAATATCGAACTAGTTATTTTGCATTAATCAACAAAGGAAATTCAGCACTCACTGCAGCCAACAACTGTCATATGAAAAGCTACACGCTTTATCTGTAAGAAGTTACATGCCAAGAGCACTTACAGCCCAAATATCTGGAAGAAGTCAATTGATTGGTCCACAGGCTGCACGCTTCCACACAATCCACAAGCCAAGAATGGTCCAGGCGATACTGCAGCTCCACCACAGTTCCAGCACCTGGGTAATTCTCCACTACCGGCCTCTGATGAGCAGAGAAATCGATTCGATACTCGAACTTCTGGAAAGTCATGATGATCAAGGCCTCGGCAATTGCTAGCACGATCAAATCGCTTTACAGGAATGCTGAAAGATCGAGTATTTATGCAGAAATTTGAAAGGATTCGAGGGTGGAGATGGAGATCTTCATGAACAAGACTTGAGGCAGAGAGCCACAGGCCTCGTTTGGCTGTGTTCTCATAAACCAGCTCTTTGAGACTTGTTCTCAACAGTGAAAACAGAGAACAATTCTTGCTTCTTCTCATAATCAGAAATACGTTGAGACAGTTGTTTTCCAGAAACTGTCTCCTGAGTACAGAAAACACAGAGAGAATGTTCAACAGTTTGTACTAACTCCAACATACAGGGCATACATCATATAGATTAGGTCTAAAAGAGATGATGAGCATGACGTCGATACATTTTTCATAACATTTTTGCAGATTTTTCATTCTTGTCCGCGGGTCAACTAAAAAACCTTTAATCATGTAGAAAAAAACATGATATAGAAATCACCGGTACGTACCGGTGACTCGAAGAGGAAGGAGAAGAGGAAGGGGCAGCGGAGGAAGAAGAGGAGGCGGTGAAGGAAGAGGAAGAAGAAGCGGAGGCGGTGGAGGAAGATGAAGGAGTAGGAAGCGTATCCGTCGACGACGCACGGCGAGCAGCGGGCGGGCAGCGGCAGCGGGCGGGCGAAACGAAAGAGGGCTCGCGTCCGGGCGAGGGGGTATTCGCGAGCCCTAAAGTCTTAAATCAATTATGAACGTGATACGCTGTAAAGTTCAACTATATATATATTCCCAAGTCCATCGTCAATAATTTTGGACGAATTCTTGCAAAGAAGTTAATTTGATTTGAGATTTATTTACGTGAAAATATCATTTTATTTTTAATATATTTATAAAATTATTTTTTTTATCGGATCTATCGTTGTCATCGTCTTGTACCTTCGCTCACAACCATCAAATGACTACTTAATGACATAGCCCGCAATCCTCTAAATACAATCGAACCACCCTTGCTTAGACAGGTCATCCCCCTCCGTCACCTACTTGATTCCTATTAGATTTATCGTTGTCTCTGCGTGCACATGGACGATGCAAGGGCAATCGATAGGCAATACAGGGCGATAGGCCTAGCAGGGCAAGGGTAAGGGTAAAATGATCACTTAAAGAAAAATACATGACTTATCAAAAAAATTTAAATTTATAGGCTTTTTTTTTAAAATTCACCCAATAACTATTAAGAATGCCAATTAATATATTAGAAAGATCAAAATTCTCGTATTAAGTTCAAATCATGTGATAATATTATATAAATTCTAAGTTCAAAATAATCAAAAATAAGAAGAAATCAATTCAAATGTTTTGAAATCACCATTATTTATCAGATACATAACGTATATAAATTAGGATTCCTTTTCTTTCTTAGATTTTTAATCCTAATAATAGTAGTCATACAAGTCGTTTAAATTTAATTACGATTCTTGTGAATAGTTTAAATCTAATTACAAGTCTAAAAATCTTACCCATCCTAATGAGATAGCATACATGAAATTATATGAATGTGATGAGGATTACTTGACATTTGGTTGTCACTAAGCCATTTTCTTTTTGAGCAAATTCTTGGGGAGCTTCTTTTCTTGTACATGTTTCACGGAAACGTGTGCTTAACCTGGTTTGCATTTAGAAGATAGCAGGTTTTGGATCTGCAACTCCTATTGTTGATTCCTGAAGTCACTGCTGATAACATTTAGTCTGGAAATGTGGAAGCACTGCTCGCGTCTCTTCATTTTTACTATAGAAAATTGGTAGCGCCATAATCAGCTTCCCTTCATTTTGCCTTCCATGTTCTGTAAATGCCGACTTGTTTATAATGACTGTTTCTACCCTCGCACTCTAGATTGTGACATGGGAAGATGTTCACGTTGCAGCAGGCTCTCCATTCATTGGGACCGAGAACTTAACAACAACAACAAACTAATGGCATGACTATTGCTGTTCATAGTGCAATCCAAGTAGAAAATAGCATAGTTGATCATTTTGCTTGCAATGAAGGAGAGAGAAGAGAAAAAAATTTAAGACATCAATAATCCAAGTCGGGAGCAACTTAGCTCGACAATTTGCTGTAAAGTAACATGAATAAAAGATGACTATGACCCAATTTTTGCTGTTTCGAAAGAATAAGCTTGCAGACCTACCAGTTCAGGTTGATTCAGGGCACCTTACTGCTGTGCGCACTGCACTCTTTGGGCACCGCCATGAACATCGTCGTCCTCCTCATAAGCCTCCTGAGCTTGAGCCTGCTTCCTCCGCATCTCCTCCTCAATGTTAACGTCATGTAATGTGGTTTCCTCACATTCATCCAGCTCCATGTCTGTCATCTGAGTTGCAAGCCTTGGAGGGAGTACAGTTTCAAGAGCTTTACACTGATCTAGTGTCAGTGACTCGGGGAAATCAACGGTAAAGTGGATGTAGAGCTTCCCCCTCATGAAGGGCCTCTGGTACATTGGCATACCCTCATCGTTGATTGCCTTAAATTGATCTGTCAGCAGAAAGAAGCTCATTTATAATCCAAGATCAATATGATGTTTCACTAGACAAAGGGTGAAGAGTAGTGATTTCAAATAAGACTGCCTGCCCCGATGAGCCTTACCGGGTTTAACAACTTCACCAGGGTTTGATTTAATAAGTAGCTGTCTATTATCCAGGTGGGTCAAAACATACTGGAAGCCACAGAGAGCCTCAGAGAGGGACAATGTGTGCTCGAAGAAGAGATCGTCACCCTTTCTCTTGAACTTGGAATGATCTTTCAGCTGGAGAACAAACACAATGTCTCCTGTGACAGTATCCGGCTGCAAGCATTCACCCGTTTAAACCATAAGAGACAAAGATTTGCTTAAACAAATAAAGCTCCAGCTATAACATGTATTAAATAATTCTACACAACAGGAGAAAAATGATCTAACGAAAGCAAAGAGATAAAAGATCATACTGCTTCATCAGCTTCGCCAGGGAAGGTAATCTTTTGACCATTTTGCATTCCCTTCTCAACTACAACCTCCAGCACTTTCTTCTCTGGGACAACTTTCTCACCTTTGCATTGCGGGCAGCGATCCTTCTCATTGATAGTCTCCCCGGTACCCCTGCACTCATTGCATGGTTGCTGCATCTGCTGAATCATGCCAGGCCCAATCTGACGAATAGTGACCCTCATACCAGAACCCTGACAACCAGAGCACTTCATTGAAGCACCGGATTTTGAACCCTTGCTGCATAAGTGTAACAAAAAATGAGAACAATTATCCGAATCTTGGAAACTCATGTTCTGGGTATGAAAGGTAACTCACCCCTTGCACTTCTGGCAGATGACATTTCGTGACAGTGAAAGTTTCTTGGAAGTTCCATTGTAAAGGTCTTCCAAAGACACCTTCAGAGGATGGATCACATCCTCCCCTCTCCTCTGCCTTCGACCCCTGCTGCTTCCTCCTCCTCCTGTTACAAAAAACATGACAGCAAAAAGTTCATAGAGCATCTCAAGCATAAGCAAACCACAATTTTTTGATACCAGAAGACAACAGTACATCATAGACAATTACATCAATGAACGAGCAGCTGATTGCTTACCTCCAAAGGGGCCCCCACCAAAGAAAGATGAGAATATATCAAATGGGTCATGGCCACCTCCACCACCCATTCCCTCCTTGAGGGCATCTTCACCATACTGATCATAGACCTCACGCTTCTCAGGATCACTCAGAACTTCATAAGCCTGAGCTAACTCCTTGAACTGAAAGCAAGAAACTGAATTGTAATCTTCATTCTTGAAAGGAACAATGCGAGGTGGACTAACCACATATAACAACACACATAAGCAACAACAGCAAGCATGCAATAAAAACCTCAGGCAGCTAGGCTCGAACTTTCGCTACAGCAAGTTGATCCCCACAAGAAATAGAACATTTAATGCCACCTCATGATGCCAATAGGCAGCTCATCGCAGTAAGCTATGCTCAGACCTTCATGCATATAATAATAAATAAACAATCTTTGCATATTTCCTAAACCATTACTTGTTTGCTTGTTTCTGGGATCAATAAGTATTACCATCCCACTGCAAGATTTTAGCTGCTAAATATATGCTGTAAGAAAGCAATACAATAATCTAATTCAGAAGATACCAGCATTTAAAGTTAAATCCAAAAAGATCTACACGTCAGATTAGCCACCAAGATCTCTAGTATTCGTATCTAGCAAATAAATCAAAGACAGTAACAGATCAATCGAATTTAAGAGACACTCCTCCCATAAGTGTGGGAAAAAACGATATTTTCAGAAGCAGATCTAATTTACGAACAAACAGGGATCGGATCTTAAGAGAACAAGATAAAACAAATCGAGCATATGAGAGACAGGGATCTATCTATACCTTCTCGGGGTCCCCGCCCTTGTCGGGGTGATTCTTGATGGCAGCCTTCCGGTAGGCCTTCTTCAGATCATCCTGCGACGCGCTCTTGGGCACCCCCAGGATCTCGTAGTACCGCGTGTTGTCGCTCTTCTTCGGCGCCCTCCCGAACATCTCCGCGGCCTAACCCTAACCCGATCGATCCCAAATCCGACAAGAAAAACCACCCAACCCAGCGATTCAAACCCCAGAGGCCTCCCGATCGCCGCCTCGATCGATGAACCGGAGAGGATGAAACCCTAATTAGCGTGCGCCGGGAACGCGATCCGGGGACTCGGCGGACTAGCGGTCAAGCGTAGGCGTCTCGGAATAACAAAATTGGGCGGAAAAGGCCGAAGTTTATAGAGAAGGGGAGGTCGAGAAAACGAGTCTGCCAGCGAACGTGGACCGTTAGATCGGAGTCGACGGACATGATGAATGTGGGAAGCCGTCAAACTTGACCTAGGAACCTACCTAATGGCATGCGCACCTGGCGAACACGTGGACTACGTGGGATTCATGTTCTTTCATCAGATCCGACCCGAAACATATGGTTCAGTATTTGGATCCGCATCCGGATGTTACTGACTTGGGTGGATTGGATTAGGTGAATCCAACCTGACAATAACATATTAATACTGATGAAGGCGATTGAGTTGTGATTGCACAAACCCGATAATATATTTATTATATATATAAATATTTGTATATATGATTATTTAATGTCATATTGATCATAGACCAGTAATTATAAAAGCACTTACAACATGTTATAAGCCTTCTTCTCTACTCTCGTGCACGTTTAAACGCATAGAACGCAACCTCGGTATATTGTTTGTCTTTTGTGTGTATGAGCAAGTAAAAGCTGACTAACTTCTATCAACTTTGAGTCACAGAATCACAACAAAATGAAGGAAGACCACCGAAAATTATAAATGGGGTGTTCTTTTAGTATGTAGGTGACATTTGAGAAGTATTTTCTAGTGTCTAAAAGAAGAAAATTGTCTCTGTATAAAATTGATGATAGTTAATTAACACTTGACAATTCAATAAAATTGTCAATTATAAAATAATTATCCATTAAATATAAGTAATTAATTGAACCATCTATAAAAAGACCTTAACATGATTAAAGATAGACATGTCTTTTTATTCCTTTAACTAGCTTTTTTTTTTTTTCTCGACTATACTAGTTTGAAGGGATCTTTGTTGTAAGTGTTACAATCCAATTTTATAGGTCTTATGTCTCATGTCATGATAAGTTTATTTTATATATGTCAATTTTTTCTAACTCATGTGCTTCAAGTATATTTTGTCTCGTGTCTCTTGTTGTAATAGGTTTCTTTTGACGTGAGTCGTATTTTTTTGCACATCGATCACTTTTGTGCTATCCGAGGTGGACTTTACTTATCGATCATTTTTGCACTCTTTGAAGTGCCCCTTCATTAATCAATAACCCTTCAGGTTCGACCCAAAAAGACATTTATCTTTAATGCGAGAGGAGAGAGATTGATCCTCTCCCTATAAATCCCCCTTAACCATAAGGGTGATGCTCATTCTCCCAATTAAGCCTTCAAAGCCCTCCTTATGAG